TTTCCATTTAAGTCTTGAAGTTAATTCTTTCTATTAATCAGGGAATCCATACAACAGAGTTGTTAAAGGCTGGTACTAGGGTCACCAGTCCTGAATTTTAATCCCAGCTTTAATATCACTTACTAGCTGGATGACCATGGGCAAATGACTAGTCTTATTGAGTTTTAGTTTCTTCTTTCCTCAAAAAGGAGAATAACACCTCCCAGAGCTCTTGTGAGAGTGTGAAAATATATATTTTGTAAATTTTAGTCATTTAGTCTTCATTCCTGGTGCCCTTTCTATCTCACTATTTTCTTCACTGTGTGCTTACACAGAACGGTAGATTGTTCTGCTTTTTCATAGTTGGAAAACTATTTCTAAAAATTAATGGTGAAGCCACTCATCTGAATGTACCTTTGCCCCAAAATTTCTACTTTCTTCTCTCTGAGCCGTTCTACTCTGAATATAGATTAATTCACCTCCAGTCCTTTAATTTGTAGAAATAAATTACTACTCTTCTTTTCCCCTCTCATCTATAGATATCTCTCAGGCAAAGGAAATGCATTTTGTGACTGACAAAATTACTATATAGCATGGGGCAGGGTAAACACATTACAGATCTCAATAACGTGTTGGTCATTGTCGCTTGTTGCTCCTGTGCACGTTCAGAAGTTTCTTGAATTCATTTCACTCTTTCATGTCTCTTTTCCCGGCTCACACAATCCCACAACCTCTCCACATAGAACAGTTAGAACTTATTTATCCAGTGAGACTCGGCTCATTTATTGTTTTCCACTAATAGTTTCTTGCCTGCTACACATCCCTGCCTCCACTTCCACCCTCCAAGGAGAGATAATCTCTCTCCTGCTCTACTTTACTGCAAGCATACTTCTTACAAGTTCTTCTAAGCATGATGGTATGTATTGTCTGTCTTTGTTCACTAGACCTTAGAGTCCGCTGCCGCAGCATTGCCTCATCCTTTTGGAGACAATCTCCAATGGGTGTTTCTCGCTACAGAGCTTTACTGCCAGGGCTAGAAGCTGTCTTCTGCTCTGGCCCTGATCTAATTCTAATGAGTTAACTACAACTGTCACTATTTACGTTGATTATATGTGAAGTAGTATATTGTAGTGGTTTGGTAACAAATTATCTGATTGCACATCCTAACTCTACCAGTTTGTCTTTTGGTTGGTTACCTACCACTTGAGTTTGGGCAAGCTGCTTCTCTGATGTTCGTCTATGTGAGCCCAGTCGTGCCTGATTCTTTGCAGCCCCATGGACTGTAGCCCGCCAGGCTCCTCTGTCCATGGAATTTCCCAGGCAAGAAAACTGGAGTGGGTTGCCATTTCCTACTGCAGGGGATCTTCCCAACCCAGGGGTCAAACCCATGTCTCCAGTATTGACAGGTGGGTTCTTTACCACTGAGCCACCAGTGAAGCCCTACCATCTCTAAATTGAGATGATGATAATACCTCCTTGTAGGGGTATTGTAAGCTTTAAGTGGGAAATCTATATGCTTAGAATGCAGCCTGGCACATAGAAGCACTAATCAAGGTTAATGCTCATATTTAAATAATAATCATAATCTAAATAATTTAAAGAAGAAACTTTTACAGTCAGTAGATCCAATTTCTTTAAAGTGTCCTAGGGAAAGACGGCTGGTATGAATAGTTTTCATCCATTTATAGACATGTTAATGTGGAGGCTCATAGTGGTTATATTCAGTTTGAGGGCATGTTCTGAAAGGCTTCTTTCCTGTATAAGTTCTTCCTGACTCTCACCTCATAGGAAACAGAGATGGTGCATTTTCTGGTGAAAAAATTTCATATGATAGTTATTTTCTGTTTCTCTTTCCAAATGTAAATGATTTCCTTTAGGACACAGCTCTGTAATCCAGTATTATTAATAATTTGCCTGGCTCTCGCATAGTAATTTCCAAACTTCTTTAAATTGAAGCTAATTTTCTGAAACGGTGTAGTTTACTAACAGAGGCTCTTCTCTAAAATACCAAATTGCCTTCACTGGTGTTAGATCACTGAGTCAAGGGAAAGTAGCATCTGTGAACTCACAGAGACTCTGTCTCAAAGAATTAAGGGGTTGACTTTTCATTGATCGGCTGATTCACTTATTATACTCTGACTTCACATGTCACACACGGGATCAAATCTCTCGAGAGTATATTAGGTCAACTCACCAAGGAATATGAAATTTTTTCTCCTTTATCTTTTTCAAGTAAATTAATAATTACTGTCTAGTCACCAAAATTACATCTCACTTGAGGTTATTTTTACTGTACTGAACTATTCTAGTAGTATATCTTGAATTAGAAACTGGAAATTTTGCTGTGAAGGGAATTTTCATGCACAGTTTAATAATTCAGCTACCTCAACCCCTGGGCAAAATAAATAGCTAGCTGAATGCTTGTTGGCAAAGTCACAGCGAATTATATTATTTGAAACTCTAAATATCCCCCCACCCCAAATAAATGTTGGAATTATCTGTGGGAAAGCAAGGGATTCAGGGCATTACAGTAACATTGCTTCTTTACCGTATGTACATTGTCTTCTTGGAGATCTATGGAGTTTGGTAATTGTTTTTATTAGGAATAATAGAAGTACACCCATTGCACTTGGGCTGCAATTACTCCCCCTGACTGTCAGCCCTGCAGCAATTCTAGGACCTGATATTAGTTGAGAAGAGTTTCTCCTCTGATTTTTAAACATAGATAAATAAGTTATCTCAAATATCTAGTAAGAATTCCAAAGAGTTGGAACAACTGTCACTATTGAATTTTATCAACTAGTTGCTTTTAATTAATTTATTTTTGAGCATTTATTTTGTGTGAGGCACTGTTAGAGTCAGTTGGCATACATTAGTGAATACAATTGTCAAAGATAACTCTCTTTGAAGAGGTTGGATTCTGTTGTGGGAAGGGGGTGGGGTTAAGGAAAGAGATAATGAATGATAGATGCCATTAGCAATTCTTTTGGTGTGTTAGAAACCGATACAGGATATGGGGAAGGAGACTGGGGAAAAGTGAATCCAGAGTAAGGAAAGAGGTTGCAGCCTAGAGAGGTTTGGGGTGAAACGGTTATGCCACAGAAATGGTATGTAACACACCCACGTGGGGAAGTGGTGGAGTGGGGAGAGTAAAGCCTCATAGAGCTCAATTTTCAGCACAGAAGTCCTGACAAGGTATCTAAAATACATTTCATTCTCCGCCTTTTTGCAACTAGTGGAGTGCAGTTCCTGGCCTTGTCTCTCAGCGCTAGAGATGAAATAAATTATAAAGGAAATGATACTGCCCAGGCTCAGATCCTATGACATCCTGTCTAATTGAAACTCTTGTGGGTGGTATGTTTCCCATTAGTTGTCCCAGTTCACAGGGGATGGAGGAAGAAAGCAATGAAGAGATAGGCAGTTCAATTCAACAAGCACTTATTCATATCTCTTATTTACCCAGAATGACTTTATTCAATTTCAGTGATACAAAGATGCAGACGTTCTTAAGGCCCCTCAGCTGCCTTGTAAGATGAACCAAAGATGAATGAATATAAATGAAAAATATGTGATGTTGCTAAGCAAAGGTTGTGTATACATTCACATGTAGAAGAGATATACTGTAATCTGGAGTTAGCCCAGGGCTTTCTGGAAAAACGAGATCGAGGTTAGATCTTTGCAAGCTTGAGTGTGGCAGTGAAGCAAGCGGGAATAATTCGGGAAGGGCCACAGTATCCCACCAAGACACAGAGGTAGAAAAGTCAGAGCTCCTGGGTTAATTAAGGGAGACAAATCTGGCCACGGGATTTCATGACCAGGAGTAATGAGCCCCTGGACTAACAGAAGGATTTCCACACTCAATGTCCCCGATGAGGGGGATCAACACCTATATTAGACAGAGTGCTACAGCCTTCCTAGGGACTGGAACTTGGACAAGAGGAGCCCAGTTACAGGGGCGATTCCATTACATTTTACCTTAGTAAAATGGAGACAAAGGAGAATTGTCTCCAAAAAACAAAAAGATGTCTTCTTCTCTTCTGTTACATGGATATATCCTACTAGTCTCTAAGTATGGCCTGACTTAGGTCACTACGGTCATAGGCTTTGAGCTTGAGTCTGGAGAAAGTTTAAAAACAGGGACCCCGCTGAAGACACTGGAGAAGGGGGGATCGTGTTAGAAAGCAGGCACCCCCAGGATGAGTGTTCACTGCTTATACTCAGCAGGCTGCCCCATGACCTCTCCCCATGGCAACCCTGCTTAACGGAAGACGCCTGTACTCTGTTCCTATGGGCAGACTGGAGAGGTTGGCCCAGAGAACGTCAGCTCCCATCTATGAGTTCTGTCCACGTGTAAACCAAGATTTGGGGAAGGGACAGGGTGAGTTGGGGGGTTGACACTTTCTTAGGCCGCCTCCTCTGGTTCCTCAGGTCGGGCCCTCATCTGGTCCCACTCCCAGGTTTTGGACAGATACTAGATCCCTGATGACAGCCTCAACATGCTTCCCGCACACCCCCGCCGCGCCGTGGAGCCGGCTCCCCCCGCAGCCGCCGCTAAGACCCGGAGGAGTGGAATTCCACTTTGAAACTCCGTGCGTGCGGCGCGAGGGCCAGCCCCGGGCATGCTCAGTGGCCGCGGCGCGGTGGGGCTGCTGCTCGTACGGCTCCGGCCGCGGGCTCCAGGGCTGTCTCCCCCCAACCTCCGCCTCCCCACCACGTCCCCCCCGCCGCGGCTGCGGAGCTTCCAGAAGGCCGAGCGGCGGCGGCTCCCCGCGATCTCGGCCCCCGCCCAGCGCCGCCCGGCTTGCCGCCGCCTCCCACCCTTCTCTCTCCCCGCCTCTCTTAAGGTGGCGAAGCTGGGGCTCGCTTCTGTTCGCGCCACACACCGCTCTGCCAGCCCCAGCCCGGGACCTGCGAACGCCTCCCGGAGACCAGAGGATCTCGGCGGGGGCTCTTTCCAACACCACTTTGCCTGAAGTGGGGTCGTGGCGGAGTTGCTCCGCCGCCGCTCAATGCAAAGCGCTATGCGGAGAGCGGTCGGCTTCCCTGCGCTGTGCCTGCTTCTTAGTCTTCACGCTGCAGGTAAGGGGCTGCCCGGCAGAGCAGTGGATGCGCTGGAAGACTGCACATGCTCCAGGACTCTAGGGAAAGCTGGCTTCGCGAGGAAACCTTAGAAAGGCAAAGCAGGACAGTGCTGACCCGGTAGGGGCGAGGGAGTCCTGCACCTGTTGGAAGACTGAGGCCGAAAACTTAAGCTAAAATCAGCCCTTGATTTTTCCTGACCTCGTATGAACATTTTCAATGCGAATACAGGTTTGCTTCCTCCACCCCTCCCCTCCATCTAGACTCCCAGGTTTTGTTTCTAAGCTCCGCACTTGACTGCCCGTTTTTCAGGAGGCAGACAAGACTCCCTACTGGATGTAATATTTTCTACTGCAGCGACTACTTCCGTAAGGTCTCTCGGTTTAGCGAGAGCTCACAGGGATCCGTTGGCTGTAACCTGATGGACCACATCTCTGTCCCAAAGATCGAAATACACGGTTCCCATTAACGATGCCGCTCCAGGCTCCTTTGGCCCCAGCTCTTGTCAGTCGAATTTTCTAAACCAATAAGACGGACGAAAGCTTTAAAATAGGACCCTCTCGTCTCTTTCAGCATCATGGTCAGGTTCCGAGGGCACCAGACAGAAAACCAATCACAGTTTCAAAGCTGACAACCGCATGGTAGGCACTGTCCCCTGGGACGGGTTTGGTGAGGTATAGAAAGGAATGACAGTGAGACTGGTTCCCAAATATAAATATAGTTGATATCAGAACCAGTATCAGGTTTCGTTTGGAAGCAAACCTTAAGAAGTACCTGGGGAATTTTACATAAAATGTCGCTTTAGACCCTGCTTTTTTGATACATGCAGCCTCGATCTGATGCAGGGACTTGCTGGACTGAATCCTTTATCATTTTCACACACACATGAACCAAAATAAAATATGGCAGAGAGATTTTAGGAGCCCTACTGCGACAGCAGTTGTCCATGCAGTATCCCTATAGCAATCAAAGACCAGGTATTTTCCCCGAGTTTGCCTGTCATCCAATCACACGTATTCATTCATTTTTCCAAGCAATATTTTATTGAGTATATACTACAGTCCAGAGATAGTGCATAAAGATAATGGATGCAAAATTGCAATTTGGGGGTATCTTTTAAAAAGAGTGTGGGTGAGCCCTTTTCTGTGTAGGCAGTAGTGAGAGTGAAAGATGGCACTTCTTATTTCTAGCTAATGCTATTTTAATGTATGGTGAATCTCTTGAACAAGTAATGTATAGGAACATTCAGGCTATAATTAAGTACCCATGTTAATTGTTATAATTATGATGTTATATTGTGGAATTTTCAGTAGTTCTTTGGCAGTTTGAAAACTAGGATGTAGCTGTGACATGGTCATTAAATTATTTGCAAACAGTTGAGTAAATCCTTTTATTACCACATACAGTTCTTTAATGTTGAAATATGAGATGAAAACATACACATTGGGTTGAATTTTATCTACATTATTGTTTTATTATAGCCCTGAGACAAATAGCTATTACCAAAAAAATCCTCAGTTCCTACCAAGTTTAGGAATGATTTGAATTGATCTATGAAAAATATTAGTGTTGTTATTTTTAAAACTAATGTATAAGATTTCTAAAGATAACATTTAATGTATCTTGAGTAATTATAGCTTAAAAGCTATAAATAACCTTAAAACTAAGCAGTTGGAAAACATTTATAAATTTGTTGTAGATGAACATTTAGGATAAGGAAATAGAGGACTTTTGTTCATCAAAAGAGAAACCTAGAAGTCTGTAGACCTAGATTATACCTGACGCTCTGCCAAAGGGTGTATTACCAAGACAAACCAATCCAACTCTACTTTGACTTCTTAATTTGAAAAAAAAAAAGGAAGATGATTAATCAATTGAATTTAGTCACAAGGCATTGAAGGCTATCTCCAGATTTCAGTTGCAATATGCCATATAGAAATTAATTACATTCATATTTTTAATGTAGTGCTTTTGATAGGTGTTTTTTTCACAGCAGATTGCAAGTTTAATATTGTGGTTGTCTTGCCAGTTTCGTTTTGAATGCATTTTAATTTAAACAGCAATTTGTGGGTCACAAGCTGTCATCAGATTAAAATTCATCACAGTTATCTAAATAACATTGTTAGGACTTTTCATTAGAACTGAGATGAATCAGCTTTCTTGATCTCAGCTCCTGTAGATTTGGGTAATAAAAAAGTGAGTGAGTGGAAGGACAAAGATCAAGAAGTCAGTAATAGTCTCCACTTGTTGAATGTCTCATTTGGCTTCTCTTACAGAAGGCTTTCCTCTCATGAGGAAAGTGGGCTTTATAAAGAAGGAGAATGAATTCTATGTAGTCAAGCCTCTTTGGCTGAAAAGCTAATTGATCCGTTTTGGTTGTGCCCAGGGTACCAGCCACTACTTTATGCTGGCAGAACTGATGATAGGTTAGATCTCTTTCAGGATGCCAGAAATTGGCTGCCAGGATGTGAGTGCTCTTTGTAGCTATACTAGAAACTGTTAACTTCCATAGTCATTCTCCTAATGGTAAAGTAGCAAAATGTTTTCACCTTGAGTGCCCTCTCAAACTGTTTGGTCATGATCGCCTGAGTCACTATGCAAAAAAAAAAAAAAAAAAAATTCTGACCAACCCTGAGTTCTGATGACTTAACAAGGAAAAGTATTGCCATCTGTTTGCAGTGTCTATGGGAGCAAAAAGAGGAAGAGGGGTATAATGCTGTGTAATTAACATCTCTAGTAAGATAACTGTAATGAATTACTGAGCATGGGGTTTGTCAGAGAATCTGGACTCAACTCCATCCATGGCAGCTGATATTCATAGACCTTCTTAACATAAAAAGTGATAGTTATTGTTCATCCAGCTGCTTACTATACAGGTGAGAAAACTAATTCAGTAAAAAGTAGATATTATTACTTTAAAGTGCTGGTTAACAGTATAGTCAGGGTAAAAACCCCGTGTTTCCAGACCTGTGATTGCACTCTACTATACTCTTTGGGAGGCCACCATTGAGATAATGGTGCCAGATTCTTTTTCCCTAATTGTCCTCATTCCTTACGCCTCTGTGAAGCAACATAACGTATCAACTTCACTAAAAAAGACCACTTCAGGAATATCCAAGAAGGCAACTGCAAGCTACCCAATGATATGGATGGTAAAATAATCACATGGAAAAGCCACAGATAGCTTATTTTCTTCAGTGTTTCTTCTCTTTCCTTGTCCAAGGAACTATGGGAGATGATATTTATTGATAATATTTTAGTTACAAAGGAGTAAATGTCTTGGGGTATCTTGAAGATTCTCACGGGAAGGCTTTCTTTTTCCTAGTGAATGTCTTGCGAAAAAAACACAAGTTGATTTCAATGCACTACTCTCTCTTCAAGCTCTGGAAATGGTTCTTTCAAACTTCTGTATGGTTCTTGCTTTTTTTTCTGTATGGTTACCTGCTTTTCTGGATGGCACAGAGACTGCCTTCCAAATATATTCTGACGATGCTTCTTCATTCTCAGAGAAGTGCCTAGTCAGTTTCTCTAGTCTTTGAGAAGTAAGAGTTCCTGTGATGGAACTAAGAGGATCAGGGAAGTCACTGGCAGAAACACCATCCTCAAAAGAAAGGGTAGGAACTTCCCTGGTGGTCCAGTGGTTAGGAATCTGCCTTGCAATACAGTGGACATGGGTTCGATCCCTGGTTGGGGAACTGAGATTCCACATGCAATGAAGCAAATAAGCCAGGCACCCCAACTACTGAAGCCTGTGCACTCTAGAGCCTCCATGCTGCAGCTGAGACCCAATGCAGCCAAAATAAATAAATAAAATAGTTTTTAAAAAGAATAGAGAGGAAAATGATATTTTAAGATATCTTTTCTCAACAAAGAGTCCCTTAGAGTCCCAGAATCAGTTTTTCACTCGACATAGTTCTTACACTGGCCAGGGGTCTGCTCTGTTCTCTCCCACATTATTTCTCTGGTATCTCTCTGCTTTCCTCTTTTTTGTCTCTCTCCAGCTACAATGGTCTCCTCCCTAATCCAAGAAGACACCAAGTTCTTGCCCATCCCCTGAAAAGTTTTATTTATTTCTTTGCCCGAACTATCCTTTCTCCATATTTCCATGGCTTAATCCCTCAATTTTCGGTCTTTGTTCAAAGATTACTTTCTCAGTGAAGCCCTCATTGACTATCCTAATTAATATTTCATCACCCCTCAAATCTTCCAATACCTTTCCCTGATTTATTTTTATTATTAATTTTATTGAAGTATAGTTGATTTACAATGGTGTGTTATTTTCTGCTGTACAGCAAAGTTACTCAGTAACTCATACGGATATTCTTTTTCATATTCTTTTCCTTTCTGGTTTATCACAGGATATTTAATATATATAGTTATAGTGCCCTGTGCTATATAGTAGGAACTTATTATTTCTCCATTCTATACATACTAGTTTGCATCTGCTAATTCCAAGCTCTCAATCCTTTCCCCCACATTCCCTCCCCCTTGGCAACCACAGATCTGTTCTCTATGTCTGTTTCTGTTTCCTAGATATGTTCATTTGTGTCCTATTTTAGATTCCACATATAACCCCTGATAGCTCAGTTGGTAAAGAATCCACCTGCAGTGCAGGAGACTCAGATTTAATTCCTGGGTCAGGAAGATCCGCTGGAGAAGGGAAAGGCTACCTACTCCAGTATTCTGGCTTAGAGAATTCCATGGACTGTATAGTTCATGGGGTCACAAAGAGTCAACACAACTGAGCAACTTTCACTTTGCTTTTCCTAAGTGCTATCAGGTATTTGTCTGTTTTGTTTACTGCTATTTCTATAGCAGATCCTGCCCATCCTAGCACTGGGAGAGGAGCAGCGCCTGGCATAAAAGCTACTAAAGATTAGAAAAATACATTGAATAAATAAAAACAACACAGTAATATTTCTAGTCTCCTCTTTTTGCATTTAATTTCTTCTTGGCACTCATGCAAGGCACCTAGTAAGCTTAGTCACTTCCAGAATAGA